GAGGGGGAAGGAAAGAAGGGAGGGGGGAAGGGAGAGAAAGAGAGAGAGAGTTCTCACTTACCTCCCACCTGGGGAGACCCTCCTACTCACAGGAGACTTTCAAACAGTGATTCTCAATTTGGTGAGACTCTCCCAAGGGTGTTTTGGAAATATGTGAAGGGACACTTTTCGTCAGCACAGTGAATAGGTATTTTTAAACATAAGTTTTATGATTGTTGTTATTCAGATTGTATTTACATTATTTTATTATTATTATGCAGGTTTTATTATTATTTCCAAGAGGTCAGAAGACAACTGCCATTGAAAATGCAACTTGTTACAGACCCCCAAGGAGCGTGCATGACCCACCACACAGTGCCACACAGGGAAGCACCAGGTCTGTCAAGAGACAGAGGATGGAGGGGAAATGTGGTTTCCAAGGAAAGAACAGGTGAGGAAGGGCAAGTAGGTTTAGAACTGATGAGCCTGAAAATTTCAGCAGAGTGTGGGGCATAAGGGACTGTCTTCAGTTGGCTGGTACCTGGCCCCAGGCTGATCTGGACAGGTGAATAAGTGGCCTTGAATGTGAAAGTCCTGTAGAGGAGATAACCAGAGTGTGGGCTCTGGTTTGGTTGGTTGAGACATAAAAGGCACACTCACAGACGAGTCCATTGCTAAGGCTAGGAACTGACCAGTCCAGGGAGGGGTGGTCCCCCCAAGGTCAGTGACCACCTCCCCTGCTCAGAGTCAAAGCTTCAGAAATACAGAAAATGAAAAAGCATGATTAATACAATGGGGATGATATTCTGCCTATAGTGTGCAGACGCCTGGGGCAGTAGGTATCCCACAGAGTGTAGAACAGCCCAGTCCAACAAAGAATTGTGCCTGACTTGCATTCTGTGAGACTCATCACACACAGCCATGCAACTAAAAAGCTCTTCACTGCTATTGAGACTAACGTGCATAAACCCAAAGTTTCTGTGCAGTTTTATTGTATTCTGAAGTTTCCAGGAATGCAGCCATGGTGTATACTAGTAGAAGATTATTGTTTAATGTAGAAATTATTCATCATTTAGGAAAACCATGACATCAATTGTGATACCACTCACTGCTTTTGAGTTTGCCATACAGCATGGCTGCATCAGTCTTCGTTTGCCCCATTACATGCAAATTATGACAAAAGATTTTGGTGATTACTTTTAACAAACTGGAAACCAAATATTTTTAAATTAGCGGAGATTCACAAAATGTACTGAATTTTTTGAGTAAAGGTTATTTGAAAACTATGTTGGATTATTGTCATTTTATATATCTTTAAAAATTATACAGCACAGGTGTAACTGATACAAGCTCAGCTACTTGCCACTTGTATATCAAAATAAACAAGCACGAGATGTCACAGAAGGAAGGTGATGGCCAAACTCAAGTCTCAAAGAAGTCATTTCTGATTTTTAGGCTGACTGAAAGGGTTTGAAAAGGGAAACTTGTTATGGGAAAACATGGAGGTGTAGCACAAGGTGTGTCTATATGGCTTATCTTGGGTGATGGTCCTCCTACAGGCCTGGCTGGTGTTATGTCAGAGGCAGTCAGGTTATGGATCAACAGTCTGGAAATTCCCCACAAATGGGAGGGTCCTACAGTAAGGTTGTTCTAAGATTAGCCCCTGGGATTTCTAAGTAATCACACAGTCAAATAAGGGTTTGTGGTGAAAATAAGTTTCTAAAACATGTTTCAAGGCTTAAGATTATGAAAAAGGAAAGAATAAACTTTAAAATACATTTTGGGAAGAGAGGCAAGATGGCAATGGAACAGGTCAGAGTGAGAGAGTCTCTGCAAAAGCAAGTGTCCATAAAGACTCTCTGTGTGAGTGGATGTGTGCTAGTTGGTGAGTAAAAGTCCATCTAAGGGGCAACTCAGGTTTATGCACCCAGGGAACCCACCAGCACCCTGAGATTGGAGTCTCCAGTGTGGAGGATCATCTACTATTCTTGGG